ACACCTCTAGCACCCAGCCCTCTCTGAGAGCCAGAGGACCTGAACGCTGACGGAGGTGGTAGAGAGGACCTGAAACAGTTTTCTGCTGGAGCCAAAGTGTGCTGCAGGCCCGATCCTAGCAAAACTTAAGGAGTAAGTGGTGGAAATGTAGTTTTGTTTGTATAACTTCAGAACTGGGCCAAAGTGCACCAGATGGTGGCAGGACTAGAAGCCCTACAATAGCTTTTCTAGGACACACACCCCAACAAACGTGCATTTTTTAAATTTCAGCATAGGAACAATGAGTGTAAAAGGCTACCCGAGCCCCTTTTTTATAAGGCACCTCTTTTCTATAACTTTAGTCATTTAAGCGCAGTTCTGTATAAATCATTGTTTGTACATTGTTTATGTTAACATTTAAATCTGAGCTGTGAAATTACTAGCATTTAGCTCTTAATAAATTAAAGGTAAGCCAGAAATCCAAGAGTGGTCTCTGATATATAGAAGATCTAAAAAAGACTTTAAAATACATCTTTCGAGATACAGCTAGATCTGATTCCTTGAAGGACTTTATGGATGTGCATAATTTCAGAAGGCTGCTAACCTGATTTGTACATGCACATAAATTTGACTGAAAATTAGGGTCTGTCATTATAAGCGAGTGAGATGGTGCAAATGACACTACAACCCACAAGAAAGTTGAGCTTCATTCAAACTGAGCCAAAGAAAGTTGGGCTTCATGCTTATGTTAGCAAAACTTTTTAAGATTATCTACCCAAATCTGGACTTAGCTCTTGGAAAACCTTGTTCTTGTACATGCACAAATACCCTACTGCTTTAACAACTTTGGTTATACTCATGCTCTTCTTTGATTACATACACAGTTTTACTGACACAAGAGCGCTTATAACCTGTGCAATTTATCCATTATTAATCAGGGAAAATAAATAATTTGATATAACTGTGTCCATTCTCAGTACATGGTTTGTGCTCAGAAGGATTTTGAGGTTCTGTAGTAAGAAATTTGACAAATGATGTTTCTTATGTTGAAGCTATGTCCTTGAATAAAATACATGAGAGAACAGGACGGGTTTTTTCCTGTATAATTGTGTTTGTAGTCAAGTTTTTGACAGCCCAGATATCTCAATTGTAAGTGTCATTCTTTTTAAAGAGGTAGATCAAACCTACAAGTCAGAGCTGTATGACTCTGATAAATGTATCACAGCTGCCATAGTTATATCAATCTAACTGAACATCTCACTGAAAAAATTGTTCTTATCCTTTAACTAAGGAGTCACAGTAAATGTCCTAAAAAAATATCCTAAAAAAACCTAAGACATATGAGGCTGTGTCAGTGATTAAAAAAACCCCAAACCCACTCACATTTCAGACCCTCTGCATTTGCTAGTACAGCTTTTTATTAGAAGACAGATGTCATGTTTATTTTACATCCTTTTAACACAACTAAGGATATATATTGACTGTTGGTGGACAATCTGGAATAATTCTAGAGGCACATGGTCTAAGCATGTGATTTTCATAGGAGGAGCACTTGGGAGTAATATGATGATTCCTGCTAAGTACTCAGGCCACTAGTGATACCATAGTTTATAGTTCTTATTTTGTAGGTCATTGCTCTAGCCTAAGAAGCTGAATCATGGGATTAAGAACGTGATTTAGTGAAACTCAGAGTGATAAAAAAGAAAGAGGAAGAATGTTGCAGCATTTCAGTTGTGCAACATCTTAAAATGAACTACAAAAATTAAATAGAGCTTGTATGAGGAAATTCCAGTTACATGAAGGAGAAAAATATTGACAAATTTTAGTTCAACGCTTCTGTAATTCTTATTTGCATTCCTCAAGTATCCTGTGTAACGTGTTAATTTTATTTGTTTACTGTGTAACTGCTGTCACAGTGAGAGAACACATCTAAATTTGTCATTGAGACTGCGCCAATGTCTCATGAAGTAAACCATATAATACATTTCTGTGTAGATAAAAATAAGTATGATTTTGTGTTTTCTAGCAGCTGAGGCCTAAAAGATGGTTAGGTTGTGCCCAAATTAGTTCTTTTGCTCATACTACTCAAAATCCAAACTATTTTGCATGTGCTTGGTCCCTCTTTGGTGGTTTGAATTCTCAGTGAAAGAATAAAGGGAATTTTCCTTATGGTATTTGCTGCCCGTTAGTACCTCTGGATCAATCAGAATCCCTGCAGGCAGAATATAGTCTTCCTACTTTAAAAATCTGGGACTTCAAGTTTGGAGAGAAATAGTTGGCTATGAAGAAAATTTGATGATGATGAGTCTTTTGGCCCTAAAATATTTATTCCCTGTCTCCTCTACCTTCTCTTTCCACTCTTCAAAACACTGACTGTTTGTAGAATTCTACTACATGAGACGGTTACACAACAGTTGTCATTTTCATACAGGGTTCCTTGTCTTTTCCATGGTAGTTGTACTCACCTATGCACCATTGCAAATAAGTGAGCACATGTTTTTGTTTCATATGGGCCATTGGCTTTTTTCTTTTTCATGAAAAGAAAGTGACTGTCACAAATAATTTTTTTTGTTTGTTTTTTTCCAAAGCAGCAGACCAGAAGTTAAACAAAAAGTGTACCTAAGTCTTCATTTAGCTTCAGGGATTTTTTAGTGGAAAATATGGCATTAAAAAGATAGTGTCCTTAAAAGTCCAGTGCAGTACTTTGTAAATACATTGTAGATATGAGATAATATGCATGGTATGAAATTTCTTGAAAGCATACATCTAAGATTTTTGAGTTTAAAAATCAACAATAGCAAAATTCACCTTTAAAGCTTTAGCCTGAGAAAAGCTTTAATTAAAAAATGAATGTAGTTCAGTGCAATTTCAGGTTATTTGGATTGCTCTTATGATATGAAGTGTTCCAAGAACTTCAAATGCCTTCCTTGCATGTGCTGATTCCATTCTCTTCTCACCTAAAGCCCTTCAAAAGCTTTGAAGTGATGTACTTAGCATAGAGCAGTTTCTGATTTGCAAAAGTCCTTCAAGATTGTCACAAGTGGCCCACTTTTTAAATGAAGTCCTTTGTCGTATTAATGAAAACACTTCAGAAACATGAGGAAAAGATAATGAAGTTCAAGGTTAAAAAATGGGCTAAATGAAGCACGGATTAAGGTGATTTTCAGAAGTGTCAAACAACAAAAAAGAGAGTTGCTGTACTGTTTTCATCAATTCCACTATCAAAGAGAAACAAGACTGATACGGAGTACAAGCTGGAGCAAGTCTTCAGAAAGCATTACAACAAGAACATACAGATGAATAGGGATTCTTAATGCCTGAGAAGTTGTAAAAACTTGTCTAAAAGCCTGGTCCAAGCTTTTATTGTCTGAGAATTTGGAACCAATCTAGTAAAAGGAAATAGAAGATTTTTCTCTATTTTTTGCATCAGCTTTTCATAGAAAAGGATCCTCCCTTCACCCTAAGCTTTCTCTTGTTCTTGATAAATCATCTTCTATGCTTCTGTAAGCATAGAAGGGGTTTGAGAGCAAATATTAATTTCTAAAAAATTAAATCTTTTTATATGGTCATACTTTTCTGGCTTGAACTTAACAAAATTGTCAAAATCTTTAAGAATGATTGCTTACATAGAGAGTGCTTTCTCTTTTGGGAGTTAAGAGCATAGGCATTCATGCTGAGTACCTGTCATTTTGGCTGCACTCAGTGGTAAGTTTAGAAGTTGAGCAATGAAAACTAATCCAGCCTCGCTGTTGGAATGAACAGTATTCATCTTCTTGAATCACGTAAAAAAAATCTCTGGCTAGTACCTACTTGTCCCATCATGCACCTGAGAGAAAGTTTTGTTCTCAGAATCTTTGCTCAGTTTCCACTGAACTTTGACATTACCTAAAATCCTTATGTGTTTTGTGTTTCTGATAGTAGAGTTCCTTGGATGCCTCTGTTCACGCACACAATCATGCCTCTTGGTACTGCTGAGTAACTGAAAACTCAGCTCACACCCAAATTATGTAAAGATTTATGAGCTACATGTTTTCCATTAGCTTGACCAACAGAACCTGATCAAATAGATATCTACTGTTTCTACGTTAGACAAGAAAAAATAGCATTAGAGGTGATGGCATCGCAGTATTCCTCTTTCAAAAGAGCACTCACCTTGTATAAAAGAGTCTTGCTTGAGGGAACTTGAACCCACATCCTCCTCGGAGTACGTCCTTCTTGCGAGGAAAGGGCATTCTCTGGGGTGGATGTTTGCACATATGTATGGAAAAGAGGGAAAAGGATTCTATGATGAAGGTATTCCATTTTCTACATAACATATATTTTGTATATATGACATTTTTCATATGCATGTATGTGTGTCTATAAATTCTGTAGATGTTCTCACATTCATGCTCCATCTGTCTGTCCCAGTGAACTTCTGATTATCCCCTATATGGATGAACTGCTTCAGCAGAAGAGACTTAGAACACCTTGGGCCTAGAGTATTTTAAGCTGTATCTACATCATTAAATTAAACAGTGCCTGGGAACATTCCCAGGCATTGGAACACAATTGCTCTCCTGGGGTAAAGTCCTTTCAAACAAATCAGGAAGTTAAGCTTAATTCTCTCACATCTTAGCATACTGAATGCCATTAGATATGTTTTACTCTATCACAGCGTTAATTTAGCAGATAAAAGAAATGTCATTTCTGAAATGTCATTTCTAATATGCCATTCATGTACTTTATGTCATTCATGAGCAAAGTATCACTCTGTCACATCTCTGTATATTGCATACAGAAAAGAAAGAAATACAATTCAAACAGTACACTCTAAAAATATGATTTCCTTCTAAAAAGGAAGATTCGATACTACAAATGCAGCTTAAGTGTGCGGCAAACAACATTCCAATTTATATGTTTAAATGTCTTATGCACATAGCAGCAGTTCACACAAGTGACATTTCTCTTGGGTTTTCATGTGTACGTCTCATTTATGTTTCATGGATCTCAATTAACCTTTAATTTCTTTTTCTTCCTGCTTTAGTGACACTGGAACTAAACCTCCAGAGAGTGGTATCTTTGGTTTTATGATTAATATTTCAGCACTTTTGGGTATGTATAAGGTACTTGATTTGAACACAGCAAAGAAATGTAAACTAGCAAAAGCTGTCTGCTTGTATTGCAGTCCATACAATATTCTGCAGAAAAAATACTCCACAGTCAAATGGTAGTATCAGGTAGTTGGAAGTAGTATCTAGAGGGCCAGGTACTTAGGGTCAGAAAGAGCAGGCTTAGAGGCACTTCTGTCTCTTAAGACCACCTCATCAGTGCGAAGTAATCAATGCAACTGGAAATAAAAAGCTGAAGAAAGATGGCATAATTACTTTGCAAAAACTGTATCTCTGATGTAGGGAGACATTAGCTTCTAGGATGCTGCAGCAAAGAGACAAACAGTGTTGAAGCAACACCTGGTTTCCTCTGCAAGATGCCTACTCCTCTACTAAATGTCTACTGGCCTTGAATCAGGAAGTTTGGCATTTTCTATTCACTTCTAGGGGATGGAGGATCAACAGCTATGTACCCTTGTATACATGCAGTCTACGATGGCCTTCATGCAAAGTAAAGATCACATATTTTACCTTTTCTGAGAGCCCCATTCAGTCACACTGTCGTGATGTGTTTCATGTAACCTCATTGTGCCTGGACAAAGTTACCTGATTTACTGAACTGTGGAATTCAGTCTACAGCTTATTATCTCCTGATGAACCACCATCTTCTAATTCAGTGGACGTGTCTGTCAGGAGTGAGCTGCGTATTGGGGTCACATAGGCTGAAATAAAATCTGTGTGTAGTGGTTTGGGGACGCTGTTGTACTAAAGAGCAGCCTGGATTGGCCCAAAAGCTTTGAAAATATTTTCTAAATACATAGCTAGTTAGATTTTTTTTCTCTTTACACTCTGCAAAAATGTATTAATTATGCAGGGCATCTATTATAAGGAGATGTAGTTCTGGTACAAGACTGCATATCAAAGCAGAATGAATTCTCCCCCTTCCACCTTATGGTTCATCTCCCTGTAACATCTGTTCCTAGTGTGGAATGCCAATGCCTCTGTGCGTAAAACGCACAGGAGAATGGGATTTAAATTAGCTTTTCTTGAAGCAATGTGCAGTTATTTCTAGATAGCATTACCGTGCGATGTTAAGACTAAGACAATGCTAAGACAGTTCTATCTGAAATTAATACATCTGAAATTCACTACCTTTCTTCTTCATCCCAGTAGACTTAAAGGCAGTATTATTTATTGTATTATGCTTATAATTTTATTCTGTGTGCTAACATGTTACAGAGCAAGGTGTTAAAATGTAAGCAATACACGTTCATTGAACAAAATATGTATTTTTTTGTTTTTCAGGTGTAGTTACAATGTACATCAGATATTTATTAATAGAGAAGCAAAATGAGTCATCACACTTTATTAGGTCTTCATGCAATATGCTTTCGTTATGTATTGGATTGATGGGCTGTATTGGAATGGGCATAGTTGCAACTTTTCAGGTATGACCGTAAATTTCATATCATAAATGAAACTAAAGTTGTTTTACCAGTTAAAAAATGAAGTAGATAAGAGTGGCTGACATTGTCCCAGTGTGGATACTTGGCAAATGAAGGAAGAATGTCTTTCTTGCTCCTGCCTTTTTTCAATAGTTTTAAAAAGGCGGATTTGCTTTCTCTGTGTATGCTAGACTTTTTGCTTGTACAGTTATGTCAGTAAGGGGTTTTGTGTGTGCTTGTCTTGACATGTCTGTACTAGAAAACAATAGATGCCTTTGCTGTAAAATTTTTACTATTAAAATTTTACTGTAAAACACCTTTACTATCCGCAGTTTAGTTTGCTTATGGTCAGGTAGGGCAGACTTATCTGACGGGTTAGAACACTGAACACAGTATTAGCCCATTGTTTTTAGTTTGTAGGAGACAGTATAAGAACATGTTAAGTCTTTTGATAGAGACATATAGAGTTACCACTTACTTTGCCAGAAATGATAAGACATCTCATTATAAATCAAAGAAGTCCAGCCCTCAGTGTCTGAAAGAAAATTCAATAGAGGCAGAAAATATTGAAACAGATTATTCTTTTCACCTTGTCTAGTGAGGAAGCATGTAATGGGGTAGATTCTGGTACAAAGAAGTATTAGGACAATTGCACTGAAAACTTCAGCTGAGAATCAAGTCAAGTTTAATTGGCAGGTAGTTTGAGATACTGCCTTTAAATCTGTGGAAACAGTTCAATTATTTCTTTTAAAGGGTGGTCTACCTTGGAGAACATTTTGGTAAATACTGTTGTGCTCATAGAGTGACCTGACAATATACAGAGAAATTGAAAATAAAGATAGAGCTTCAGCAGCCAATACCATTTTGCATGTAATTGACTTGGTATTTTCAGACAAGAAACTCTGCCTTAGACTCCTATCTTGCTCTTTTTAGTTTTACTTCCAGGCAGTGCATGTAGATTGCAGACACTACAGCACTGCAGTCTACTCTAAGCATGCTATTCTACTTTTGAGTATCTGTACTCTTATTGATTAGATTTATATGTGGCACAAAAAAAAATTAGTAGATGAGGGACAGTGTTGACTGAAATAGAAAACAAACTCAGCTTCAATAAAGAAAAGACAAATGAGGAATGCAAAATAATTTGGGAGAGTCAGGGAAGCAGAAACTTTTATCCTAAAGTTTCCAAAGGGGCCCCTTGACAGTTATAACATTGGTTCTTATCCAATCTCTATTGTCTCTTATTGCCTGTTCATGAACTCTTTCCTCACCTAATGTCTCTTTCCTCTGCTTTAACCTTACTTTCCATGTTAAGTGCAGTTTGTAGGAGGGGTTCAGAACACAGTAAGGATCTAATCTAGCTAAGGATCTGATCTAGCAGATTTTTGAGCATGCTTAATTGCCCAGGAAGATGGGATATGGTGCTTTGCAAGTCTTTGGTCTTTTAACTGTATACTGTACAACTAGTGAACAGTACATTCTTACTGCCATTTACCAGTAGAATAACTGAGACATGAAGAGGCTGTAAGATTTGCTCAAGGTCAGTTGATTGTTTCAGGCCAGGAGACCAAAGCAAAGCTGGAATTAGAAGTTACTTCTTTAGCCTTCAGTCTGGTCCTTGTAATCAGTGGGTCATGCAGAAAATTCACATTCATGTGCACTACCTGTTTGTTTCTTAGCACTTCTTTTTCCCCAGCAGGTGAGCTAACACCATATCTAAGTACTATAGTAGAGTTGATTGACACTATTAGGCATCAGTTAGTTTTCTCTTTCCTCAAAGCAAAATACTTAGTTTCTTAAAAAGGCTTCAGTGTGAAATTATACTGGAAATATTTAAGATTTGCTTTTATTTACTCAAATCTAGTGCGACTTGTGGTGAGTCTTTTAAGTAGCATAATTAATTGTAAGGAAATTTTTTCACCCTTTTTGCTTCAAAGTAAGATATGGTAGGTATCTTGGAGTTTTAATGGTATTGGTCTCTAAACACTTAGCAAAAATGAGGAATGAGGTGGGAGTGTGTTCTCTAAAAGCAAAAGAGTTTCTGAGAAAATAAGTAATGGTCATGAATAAGGTGTTTGTTCTCTGTTTTAAATAACACGGTGCTTGAAATATAGAAAGTCAGACAGTGGAGGGTTAGCTTTAAGAAGATAATTGAATATGGAAGGAAAAATCCTGTAGCCCTTAATAAATAAGGCAAAGAGAAAACCCAGGTCTTACCAGGTTGCCTGTTAGATGTTACATATGATTAAAGAGAGATCTTTCTGTCTTTGGCTAGAAAGCTTAGGAGACTTAACGTAGCAGATGTAGCAACATCTCCCAGATTCTGTAGGGTTGAGTGCAATGGGCTTTTTAGGGAAGCTGTGGCAGTTTGATAGGAGCAATCATGAGAGCCATGTTAGAAAATCTCTGTATATTGTATACAGGGCTAAATGCAAAAGCCAACAGTTACGCTTGTTTAATGCTTTCCATACCAAATCCTGTCATTCCTATATGGAAGGCAAAGAGTGGGACAGAGGAGAAGAAAATGCAAGTGTAGATGAGATGCAACTTAAATACCTGTGTAAATACCTATAAATATATGCTTTAAAATCGGACAGAACTTAATATATCATGGAGAGACAGAAGGAAATGAGTAGAAAGAAAAGCATGGGGAAAAAGAATTTAAAAGAGTGTGTGAACATAATCACCATTACCAGACAAAGAAAACAGTGTCCTCCAGGCAGAAAAGATCTTAAAATATGTAATGAAAGGATATAGATGTGTTTTCATGAATCACTAAAATAAAACTCTCATAGCACATGTTTTGCTATGCTCTCGTGACAGAAAGGAGCTTCAAAGCAACTTACCTGTCTGATATTGGATTTCTAGGTGGCATAACTTTGTATTTGTAATTTATGGAAACATTTAGAATACAATAATTTCTCTGGAATCTTCGTCTGTTTTGTTATTGGATATTCTATTCCTTCTTCTCTCTAAGAAGGAGAATCCTCCATAGGTAGCGTATTACAAAAATACAGGCCACATATAGTGATACTGGAATTTTATACACACTTTCACCTGTTGCGGAACTTGAATAAAAGTGGCTGATGATGTAGGGAAGAGTAAGAGGGCTGAATAATTCAAGCAGCTGACAGTGTAAGACCTTCATATCAAGTGCCTATTTTAGATAACACTTTTTTTTTTTTTTTTTTAAATATATAACTAATTTTCTGCTGACTTACTTCCTGGAGCTTTGTGGCTGGCCACTGGAGGGGGGGGGACGGAGCTATAGCAGTCACTATTTAGAACAGCTCCCATGAAAGTTTACCATTAGAGTATGGCCACACAAATGAAGATTAGACTTTCAATGTAAAAGGATGAAAGTCTTTGGCAGGGTAAAGGGAAAAAGGAGATATAGGAACCTCTTAAGAAAAACACAAGCCAGTTCCTGTTTGTGGAAACTTTAACTGGTAACAGACCAACTACTGAACAGCACTAAAATTGATCTACACTTTTATGTGAACACAGGAAAGGACTTTGACCTGGTGGCTTTGAACATGGTTAGTTTACCTATCTGACCTACTCTTTCTCCGTTTTCTTTCACCTTCCCTATGTAGACTGCTGGGAGAAGGGACTGTTTCCCACTGCTTATATGTGCACAGCATAACATAGCTACTGTCTTCTCAGGGCTCATTGGTTCCTACCACTGTACAAATAGTAGCAGCTAACCATTGTGCTGATTCTCTTTCCAGGAGCTGTCTGTTCCCAGTGTCCATGACATAGGAGCTTTGGTGGCATTTGGCTCGGGTGTTGTATACATTACACTTCAGTCTATAATCTCTTACAAGTCCTGTCCACAATGGAACACTTACTTTGTATGTCACATTAGGATGGCCATATCTGTAATATCAAGCATTGCTTTCATTCCCAGTATCCTTTATGGTGTATCCCACGGTTTTCCCTTTATGCATTCATGATTTTCCTTTTAAGTTAAACCATTACTGATAAAGGATGAAAATGAGGTTACAATATTTGCTTAGGGCTCTCTAATATTTCTGCTGTAATAATGCATATAGCATCTCAAGACACCATTAATAGCATAAAGATGAGTTTCAGGGTCTTCTAAAAAGCTGTATCTCTTCTTTCAGTAGTATATTTAAATCTAATGCTGCAGTGTTCTTCATAGGATCATACAATAATAAAACTAGACCAACTTTCCAACCTCCTTCATTCGAAGTAGGGTATGGAGAAAGGCCTGCAAAAGAGGGGCACTGCTTCTAAAATGAACCTAACACATGAACATATAAAACACAGTTGGCATACACAAGATTTCCTTCAAGCCTAAGCAGATGCTTTTGATCGTGTTGGTTGGTGCTTGGCTTCATTATATGCCTCCTCTAGAGACACACTCAACACGCTTACTGGCTTTTCCCACAGTTTGCTGAAACTAGAGTCATCCCATCAATTTTATTGGTCTTTAGGTGCTCTGCCAGTGCAGAAAAGTGGTTGCAGCAGATCATCACATCAGCCAGCCAGCTACAGCTTGCTTTTGGTTTCAGCAGCTCTGAAAGGGCTTTTAAAGAGGGCCCCAGCCCTGAAAGAAAGTTGTACAAATATATCAAGGCACCTACTGTGAACCAATGGAAACCAACATGGTTCCCCTTCCAACAATGCAGGATCTACTCCCACAGTTTTCAATCATGAATGTGATCTAAGTTTTGGAGTGTCTCTCCTTACCCTCTGTACTTTGGAAGAATTTGCAGAAACTTTATTTGTGCAGAAATATGTTTTGATTGCTGCTATCAGTTACCTTTCAATAATGTGTCTCATTTACTTGTCTTCTTAATACTTTGATTTGATATTCTGGTTGTTCAGGATCTCCTGTGTTACAGAAGGGGGAGATGGGGTCTTTTCTTGTAAGCAGACATTTTCACTATTATTCACTAAACTTTTATAGTTTCCTTTACATTGTGTTTTTCCTAGTGATTGTGTTTGCTTCACGAATTTCCATGACAAAAATTGACTGGACTCCAGGTGAAAAGGTAAAATTTCATTAGGTAGCTAACTTACCCTGTATCATACTATTTGGGATGTGCTGTTATGTTTATCTAAAAGTGTATAGCATTACCAACACTTCAGAGACTTTAAATAGTACATTATCGTGAACAGATTTGTGAAATCTCACTGATCTGTGCAATGCTGGTTTCTAGTTATTTATTCCTTAGAAAACTGTCTGCAGCTTGGGTAAGAAAACTTGTCATGGATGGGACAGTCTTCAGAGAGGTAGACTTTCATTTTAACCAAATGTAGAACAAATTATTAAAAAAAAAAATTCTGGAAGTGAGTTGCTCTACTTCCTTTTATAGTCACATTTCTTGAAAACGAACTTCACATGTGAAACAAAAGTGGAACGACTTGATTCTGAAGTTTTTGAGGTTTTTTAAAACATTGGTTTTCTCACCTTTTTCACCGTTCTTTATTAAATAGTCTTTTCTATTGTGATAAACATTGGGGTTCTGACCTGAAGCATACTAAAGTCAATATTAGGTATTTGAATTGATTTCAGTGTTCTCAGAATGATAACTGTGAAAGGTAAGTTTTCTTTTGGACAAACTTTGCTGCATGGAGTTATTAAAAGAACAGGTTAAATAATGCTTTTTCCTGCTTGAAAGACCTTAACTTTGCCAAGCAAACTTGGCAAATGTACTTCAACCAAACAGTGGCAAGACAGCTGTGAGATAAATCTTTGCAAGTTAGATAATCTTAGTAATATCTACCTCTTTAGATCTTTTTTTAACTTCAGATGCAAGGATGAGGAAATGTTTTTACTGAAACAGATGGCATATCTGTTGATGGCATGTTAAGAAACACTTTACATTCTGTTTGTGTCATATTACATAGGTTTTCTATGATGGTCTACTTAAAAACAAAAGCGTTGTCAGAAACTGTTGTACAGAGGTAGCCCTGCATTTTAAAATAGCAAGAATTTACTGTAAAGCGTAGTACTACTGAACTCAGTGGCTCTGAGTAAAAGTTTTGAATACGGTTACTTTGGTATCCTTCACATAAGAACTAGATTTTTTTAGGTGCAAATTATCTTCAAGCTGTGTTTTGATCTTGTGCTAATTGTAGTTTTCTTGTACTATTTTTTACGTTAGTGCACAAGACATGCTGCTTAATGGAACGTATGCAACCTTGATAAAGATATTTACTATTCCGTAAAAACTAAAGCTTAACTTTTATACAACAGGGTATGGGGATGATGAGGCATAAGTCTTAGAATATATGTTGAATTTACACAAGGAAATGACAATTTTTATAGCATTCCACACTTACTTTGTTTAGCTGTTTTATCTGAAAATCCATTGTATGTCTCATCCCATCAGGATTATACTTATCATTTTGTGAGTGCGATCTGTGAATGGACGGTGGCCTTTGGTTTTATCTTCTTCTTTTTAACATTCATTAGAGATTTTCAGGTTGGTATCTACATATTTTAGCAGTGACTAAGAAGTGCTATGAATTGTACAACAAATGCAGTAGAAAATTACCATTCTTTATCTCAGCTAGATATATCAAAGCTGTACAGAAACAAAATTTGTCAGTCACAGAACTCATTTCTGTCTACCTAATGAATATTTTTCCCCTGGGTTTTAAAACATAAAAATCAGTTTTAGAACTCAGTTTAATAGGTGTCTGGTCTTGAAAATTTTTCAGTAAATTAATATCTTCTACTTACTTACCAGTCTTTTTGTAGAAAGAGACCCTCTAAAGGTGACATAATACCAAAATAAATGATGCAACTAAAACTACGTTTCTTTCTACCTGAGGGATTTTATATAATAATCCAATGCATTTCAACCGTAGATGTTTCCTTTCTTTTTAACAATTGTACAGTTTGATATACATTCCCTCACAATGCAAAGAATATCAAATACTTTTCAAAAAGTATTGACATGAAAACATTCTGGTTTGGGTAGCTGGATCTGGTGATGCATCAAGCCTGACTTTAAGGAAGAGAATATATTAGATTAGTTAAAAAAAACGCACTTTTATACAATTTGTGAAAGGCATGCCTTGAACTTGCTTTCCCAAGCTTTGCCTCGCCAACTCTTGTTTATACAACATGTTGTAGCTGCAGTGTTTCGTGGGTTTTTTGTCTGGTATAGGAATACAAAATGGTGAAAATACCAATGTGTGAGGCTTAACTCTGGCAAAAGAACTTGTAAAAAAATAAAAGAAACATTGCTTGTGGTAAGTGCCTCATGGAGACTGGAGGACAAAACCTCCTGTTATTACTGTAGATGTTAGGAGGATCATGGCTTCCTTATCCTTCTCAGACTTCTGGATGTTTGTTTTCTCCATAAAGTAGTTGGATCTTTGCAAGGCTGGAGTAGAGACCTTAAGGTAGAAAAGACTGAGAACTGCTGCTTTATACTGTAATTACAGAGGTGAACTAACTCATTTGTAATCACTGTAGATGTCATACCTCATACGTAGGCTTTTCATATATACCATTGCCTCACACAGGTCCCAGAAAGTTGAAAACTAGATCCAAGCACTTGCATAACTGTAGAACTAATAATCAAGATCACATACGTGAGCCAATTGGTGCTGTGATAAATTGCTGGAAATCATATCTAGAATTTGTGGAGGTGGGAAGGCAGGAAAAATAGTAAGAACCCTCTACATCCTCTGGCATAAAACCAAAGTTTGACATCAGATCATGTAAGACTTCGTAATTAATTTACTTGCTTCTTCACTTACATGCATGGAAGTGGTTAATATATATAATCTGTACATAACTTTCATAAGCATATACAGAAATCAAATTTCAAGTAAGGATTCAGAGTTAACATATACTTTGCTAACCAATAGCAAACATTTCTACACCTGCTTTCTTTTGACTGATAGTACTGAATAGACCATGGCTGTAGGGCTTTCTCTTATTAAAAAAAAAAAAAAAAAGCTAGGTTCTGCAGAACAAAATGGGGTTTTAAAAAACGTTATTGGTCAAAGTTATACAATGCATTATCTTAAAGGCATATAATTGCCTTTTAAAACTGACAAAAATATTGAAGTACCATTCAGAAATGCATGCAACATTAAATTTACCATTTGAGGAGGGGAGCTATTTATTGCCAGTCCATCACTCTCTGATGTCTGCATATATGATGATATCTGTTTTATCAAAAGTCAAACTCTTCCCTTGGAGATACATATTTGCAGACAATGCAGTAGTCCTCAGAGTGGCTAAATTAGTTGATAAGTCTGCTTCAGATCACAGATCCCAAAGTGTTCAACATTGAAAGTTTAACTATATGTAAATATTGTGAACATAATAAATAAGAGAAAGTGACAGAATTAAACTGAACAGAAATTCAGACATTTTAAATTACAGGCTATAAAATAGCATGAAATCCAATGTTAGTGTTTGACAATGACAGATTTTTTAGATTCTATCCTCCTTTTGTCCTAATTAGTGTGCTCACAGAAAACCAAACTAATAATTCAGAAAAAAAAACAACTGCCAGACTCTAAGAGAAATAAGCCTTCTTTTTTTATTATTTTTTCACAGTATGTATTTCACTTAAATACTTTTTTGTTGTTTTATCTCCTTGTACTTTGTATCACAGAACTGTAAAATTAATTTATCTTAATCTGATCTTATTTTATTTTACTTTTAGAGAGTTTCTTTAAGGATATCAACAGAAATACATGAAGACTCCTGAGAGTGGAAAAAATTATATTTTATGTATATGAATACTCTAGGTTTCTTTTTACTTATAAAAAATGTTGCAGAGGGTTAGGGATTTATAAAGTTGTATAAAGAATCCATGCCATTAACTCCGCAACATCTATAACAGTACCCACTAAAAGATTTTAAAAACTTGCCGCAAAGTTCCTGCTACCTTTTTGCAATATTTTGTAATTTTTATACTGTTTGATATATTAAAAATACTGTAATAGAACCAATCTGTAGAAGCACTTGAAAGTCATTCAAAGACTTTTGATCTCCTCAGCTCTTCCCCTTTGGATACCCATACTTTTTCATTTGTTATAGTCTGATTAGTAACATTGGTTTTAAACTTGAGGAAGTACAGTTTGCAAATAATGAGGAAAGTCTAAAGAAAATGGCAAACACTAAGGCTGAATTCCTGTGCTGTTAATTTGCAAGGGTTGTGGAGGAAGGTGTGAGCACAATTGGTCATCTTTGTTTCAAGACTAGAAATTTTGCTGTTAGTAGATGGCAACACTATGCTACATGTTTCTGATAGTGGACACTGTATACAAATACAAATCCTAGGAGAAGTTTAAACTATATTGCTTGAAAAATGTTTTTTAATCATCACTGCAATGTATGGTGTAAAAGTCTACCCTTTTCCCCTTTATGCTCTGCTGGCTGTAGGAAGGTTAATACTGAAGTGGGAATAGAAAGTAAATTTACATTTATGCACAATCTGCTACAGGGAAATCTTACTGCAATTTGGTTAATACAGCAGTTAATAAGCAGAAGTTTTCCAGCCTGTGTTTTAACCTACAATGATGGAATGAAAAGGGCCTCCAAAAAGTCATTGGGAGTGAATGGAAAACAAGAAGAGGCACCAGAAGTTCTCAGGTGTTCGGTTATATGTGTATGAGTATCATATATATAAAACTGAAGAAAAAAAAATCCTGGAGAGCTTGTGTAGTGAAGATATGGCATATTTCCTGCTATAAACTTACTTCTGTAATGAAAGACTTGGAAAGGAACTATTTGAGAAGTCAGATGTTACAAGTATCTGATGGCAAAAGGGTCTTTTGTGGACTGATTCACTACCTCCATTTAGCGCATTAACCCATTGGCTGTCAATCAAGTTCTCTGAAAATTACATTTTCCCTGGTCTATCACAGTTTATGCAGAACTATTGATGATTTTCAGTTACTAATTTTCCATGAGATAAAACAAATGTATGTTTTGGAGAGTGATGTCTTAAGACTAGTCATCTGTTGACATTTCCTTTAGTATGTATTTTAAACTGTATTAAATTCAGCTGTTTCACAACTTAGAGTCCATGTTTTATTATAAGTTCTTCCAAATAAAAATAGTAAAAATGTTTTTCACTGACAGATTTGCTTTCCATGTATTCAAGTTATCTTGCAGAAGTTTATATTTACAATCATGTTAAAAATCTAATCTGCTACTGACGAATGCGAGACTTAAGTCTTGCTGATTAGGTATCCTGCAAGGGGCACACATTGCTTCAAGTGAAGATCAGAAATACTCAAAAGAAAATGTATATGAACCACAAAAAGTGACATCCTGTTATTTTGACGGCCGTGTTAAGAAAAGATCATATTTCTTAGTGCATTGTGTACTGTTCTTTTATTACTTTTTATTCTTAGCTTTCTTAAACTAAAGTATAAGGAGCTTGAAGTTATTATTACAAATTGTATCAGATTTCATCTCATCAATTTACTAAACCCTTTACATGGAAAAAAGGAAGTATGTTAACTTGAAGTTCAGCCTTAACTAATATTAGTGTGTTTTTTACAGTGAATCCAAGTACACTTAAACAGGAAAAGATTTGTATTGTTCCTGTTTAGGCAGGAAATCACCACAATAAATTTCACAAGTTTCAAGGCGAGAGAACACTAAGAAAACATTAAATCATCATCCCAATACAAGGCTCCTGAAGCAAGTTCACACTTGTTTAATCTCTTAGTAGCCTATCCTCCTCAAAAGAATCATATCCAGCCCACCAGCCTTTACAGTGCTTATGGTATCCTAAAGAGAAAAAAAAATAAAAAAAAATTCAGAGAAAGTGGCTGAATCAAGATAATCTTGTTTACTGAAATCAGTGTGTTAAGTCAAGTACTGAAGAACTACTAAATGAAATCCTTCCCATTTTTCTGAGCTTTATCATAATACAATTTTATATGAGCTACATTCATGACCAAAAGAATGCATCACCAACAGTTTGTCTTTTGTTTAATTTGTTAGACCAAAAACATCAACATGCATCAACATGCAGGTAGAGACAATGGGTTATTACCTTTTTGTTTGTGCAGTGAACAACTATTGAAAACACTTTGGTTATTCTCTGGCTTCAGGCAGCTTTTCAGTCAAGATCCTGATTATTTTTTCAGTTGAAATATGAGTTGACAAGCTGCAAGTGATTGAAAAAATAAATTTATTCTAGCAAGGTGGACCATTTTAGCTGTGGGTGACTCTTGCTAAATAATGACCAAGTGATCTGTACAGGTTAGTACAGATAATGTCACAGTATACTTCTGTTGCTTTACAGCAGGGCCTTTTTTCTATATTTTCACATTTCTTAGCAACAAGAAATAGCTATTTTTTCTTGGGAGCTATGCTGGAAATATTTTTGCCATCTACTCTGTGTGATGGTTTCTATTTGTCAGCCCATCGTGAGTGATTGAGAAACTTCTTTTGCATAAACTACAGTAAATCACATGACAGTTATTGTTATTTTTAGTGATTATGCTAAATCATTTCTCTACCGCTTCCAAAAGTGCAAAGCCTCATTTTTCTAGGTTGAGCAGCTTGACCTACTGATGAAATACCACCATTGATGTCCCTATCACAGTTCGAAATCATGTAAGGATGAAACTCAATTGACTCCAAATACCTAAACCCCACTTTTTCTTGGGACGCTGTTACTCACGCTGCTCTTCTTTCCCATATGTGCTCAGCCAGTGATCACCATACATTGCACCTTTGCTTTTTCTCATAAGGTATCCTAAATTTTTATTTCTGATCTGCTCTGTTTGCATACTGCCTTATCTGTGACAGCAACATATGTTTGATAGTAGTAAAACAATCTTGATGGAAAGGGGTTTATTATTTGGCAGGAATACTGGTCGCAAAAGTTTCAAGCAGACTGGAGGGATTACCGTAACATATGTCAGTAAGTTTTGGACATTTCAGTATGAAGTTTGTAAAGGCATTCAAGAGCTTGGTATTTTAAACTGCTCTGTAAATAGAGAGTCTTAGTCTCAATATTGACACCATATTTTCACAAGCCTTCAAGTTTTGAAGGGTCTGCTTGAAGACTTCAGAGTGTTTGGGCTTGGTGAGCTGATCCTAGTGGTTTACAATATCCACTACAAATATTCTCTCTGGAACAGGCTGGCAGAGCTGGAAGAGCTGGAACAGCTGTTCTCCTCCAAGAAATGGTGAAAGGCAGCTTGACGTTTGGATTTTACGAAGGGGTAATGTTAATTTCCTTGGAAGATGAGCTAATGTGCCTTTATTGGGGAAAAAATTGACATAACATAAGGAAGTTGTGATAGGTTTTAATTTATCAGATTTCTGTAGCTTTGACTAAAACTACTGAACTACTAAAACACTGCATTTGCATGCGTGTGCCCATATGGTCCATACGTGCGTACACGAACGGTTTTGGCATGGTGAGCCTGACAGTGGTTACAGTCCTGCATGTTGCTGTAATACACATAAATGATAATAATCACTGGGTTTTATGAAAAACAGAAGTGATTTTCTGAGCTTTGGCTGTGTTTTCTAATTGGTACTGTAATGTAGAAAGAATATTTCTCACATTCTAAAGAGAGAATAGGCAACTTCTACATGTGGTATCTGTATTTTTCCCTGTACGCAGTAGATGGCACTAGCAGACCACATGATCAGGGTTTATTTTCCACGTTCAGACTTAGTACAATAGTTTTGTAGGCAGCTTTCACTGTTTTTAATAGTCATCTGGAGACCCAGTTAAATGATTTTTTTATTATGCCTTTGTGGAAAACAAGTCAGATCTAGAGTTTCCTTGCCATCCCTTCCTGCCTTAATCTAAGTAAATATGTTTTGCTACTGCAACATACAGTTTCATAGCAACTTCCAATATTCAAATTAATTAATCTAAATCAAAGGAGCCACTTGCTGTAGCTAGCACTGGTGCAAGCTGCAATTCGGTTGTCACTTCCCTTGGGAAGTTTTTCCTACCGTGTTACAGAAAAGATACATTTTACTCAGTAGGTTCAATAGACTTCTGTCAGTTTGCAATGGAGCATCAGAAGACAATATAGACCTTATTTTCACAAGACAACAATATAGAAAGAACACGATTTTAACATTTCAAAAACATAGTCATTCTGCATCCAGAAACAGTGACATGTCAGGTTGTAAGAAAAATTGAAAGGTATCTTCCCTTCCTCTTACACTGCATCAAATAGTTGAAACACATTAGCTGGCTTTCACGGACATTTTTTCTTTTGGTTTGAATTATTCAAGAGTATTTTGCTGTGGCAATGGGAAGAAGGAGAGTGATGGCAGCACAGACTAACATCAGTGTGGTAAGGCGGTCACAGTAGGTGTCACTCAGGTGTGCAATGTCACATACAGAGGCAGGTCGGTATGAGAAGATTGTCTGTCTGCAGAAGGGGTTTTGTTTTGTGTTGGTTTGCTTGGCAAAGGCAGAAGTCACGCAATAAGTCAATAGCTTAAAGTTAATTTTAAAGGTCTTGTGGAAGACTAGGGAAATTCTAAACAGGAAAAAAGGAAATAACACTGGTAATGAGATATAATATATGCCTTAGTTTTTATCTTTGTTGATAAAGGCTCTTTTTTATCTTTGTTCATTTCAACTAGAATCTGGAACTATTTATTTTCTTACTGTCTGTGGGTGACTGGGTGGTGCAATTCTTGCACAATACTACAATTCAAAGGAATTTTTTTTTTGTTCAAATCAAACAGCTTCTCCTTTAAACATTCAATGTGTAAATAGTTCAAAAACCTTGACTATACTCCAGTCAAATGATCTGAATGCA